GGCAATTTGGTTCCATCTTAGCACTTTCCATAAATAAAAGTCAAAGTAATAGTGTAGCATTTCAATCAGCACTCCTCCTCTACCACAGTACAGTCACCATAGGTGACCAATGACTCAAATAATGTAACATAACTTCCCTGTTTCTTTTCTATGTTTTCATGGTAATTGTTTTGATGAACTTTCCTCTATGGTTACCTAGACATTATGAATTTAAGTACAGTGCTAGATTGGTGGCAAGGTCTCATTTTACAATTGGTGGCTAAATGTAACTAAGTTCTATGCCAACAGTTTTTTTCTCTCACACTTCATGCTTGTGGAATTCTACTGGTGTTTCAACCAACTTTGATCTTTAAAAATTTAAATGCAATATCAATCGTTATCTTGTCTTCTTGATTCTTGTTCCTTAATAATGTTTTTCTTTTACTTCATTCTTTCACAATTAGTAACCTTCTGCATCTTAGTGGCTATGGATGCTTCTGCTATGTATTTAGAGATTCTTGATAAAATACAAAGTATCTACAATGTCAGTGGTCCTGATTGGGCTTCTTAGCTTCAGTCACTTTTCGGCAGCTGTCATGTAACTTCCCTGTTTTTTTTCTATATTTTCACATGAATTGTTTTAATAAACTTTCCTCTATGATTATCTAGATTTTATGAATTTAAGCACAGTACTAGTTTGGTGGCAAGGTCTCTTTTTACAATTAGTGGCTAGATGGAACCTTTCCTTTTCTTGCATGTGGAACTCACTTCCAGATTCTAGCTTCCCAGTCAAATTTTGATGTTCAAAAATTTAAATGCAATGTCAATTGTTATCTTCTGTTTTTTTTAATTCCTGTTCTTTTATTGTTCTCTTTAATGTTTTTTTTCATATACTTTCATCTTCAGTAACCCCTTGCATCTTAGTGACTTTATTACCTTAAAAAAAAAAAAAAAGAAGAAAATGTTTAGGTAGACTATATACAACAATATGGTAGACCTCAAATACTGAGATATACTTGATATGGTGCTATTGTAGAGCAGTCTATCTTAGAATATGTTCTAAATATTAGTATCCTTATATCAGGCTTAATTAAGCTTACAAGATATATACACAATAGGATTTATAATTATAAAAAAAATGGTTAGCTAACGCATCTTACAGACAATTGTTAGTAGAGTTCAATCAAATCACACCGGACGTCAACAAGAACCTAACTAAAATAACTATATTCAGAGTTAAAGATTAGTTTCAAAATATTTTTAGGTTACCTATTCATTTGTATGAAAAAACATGTTCACCTTATTTACATTCAAACTAACATCCTCATCTTTTTTGTTGTCGTTACAATCTTGAAGGTTACACAAATCAATATACACTCAAAGGCTGAAAGCACAACATCTAAAACAATTGTCAAATGCTGATTCAATTAGAATCTTTTATATATATAAATAAAATAAATTATAGCCACTATTTTATTAGCATTAGCACTCAATATTATATGTTATTCCATAGCTTGAAAGTTGTTAGCTTGATAACTACTTTAAATTTCATTATATAATATTCAATCTATATAATTCAGTCACCACTGAATTAAGTGCATTAACAAGGAAGATTAGATTATTGTCTTAAGCTTTGTCATCATTATCACAGTTTCAACCACTGCGTTCTCACCTGTTTTTCTTCCATCAGACAATAGGCCAACAGATTAAAGCCTTGGTAGATGAACCTGATGAGTACAGTTAGTACAGACTTAAATTCAATGGAAACTTGGTGAGCAATAACCAAGCCATACTAAATGAAAACACAAGATATCCCTCTACATCAGTGATTCTCAACTGTTGTGCTGCATGATCCTCTTAAGTGTGCTGCAAAACATTGAAGAACTTTGGAAAAAAAAAAAAAAAAAAAAAAAAACACCAGGTTTAGGTTTCACGCTAAATAAGCCGCACAAATAGTTGAACAGAAACACTAGAATAGAGTTGTGCATGTATTGTTTTTAAATCTATGGTTTTTATTTCAAAACATTTTAATGTATACCCTTTAAAAAAATTTGCTAAGTGTGCCATGTTTGCTCCCAGGTGTGCCATTGCTTACAATTGTCTAAAAACACTGCTCTACATGAACAATCTAACCTTGCAGATTGTTTAAAATACCCTGAAGGTTACCCAGATTGAATGACATCTAAAACGGCTGGAAGGCACAATGATGAAAATATTGTGATAATGACAAAGATGAGAACAACAGTTTGAATGTAAATAGTAAGTCCTCATTCTAGAAAGATTAAACTGAAACAAATATTTGTTGTGTAAACTTAATGCTTCTTAATTCCATGTGTGTGTGTGTGTGTGTGTGTGATTTGAATCCTAACTGACCCAGTTGTAAGATATGCATGCATAATTTCCATAGTAAGAAAATAAAACAACCATACTATTATAGACTTTTATAAAATATGACCATTCCAAAATCCTAGGTTATATTCTTCTGTACTATGGACAAGCAGAAATATTCAAAAATAATTTCCTAAAACTCAAATTTATAAAGACATACACAAAAAATTAGACATATTTTTAATTACCAACATTATATTTTTCATAATTGGCCCCAAATATGAATTTAAGATTGGTGGCAAGATCTTGTCATCTTACAGTTGAAATGGCTAGATCTAACTAAGTTCTATGCAGTTTTTCTAATACTTCTTGCTTCTGGAACTCTTCCTACTTCTTACTTTCTAGTCAAGTTTGGTTTTCATTAATTTAAAGTAAATGCAATGTCAATCATTATCTTATGCATTCTTAATTTCTGTTCTTTTAGTCTTTCACAATCAGTAACCGAACCCTCTGCGTCTTAGTGGCTATGTTACATTGCTTGGGGTGAAGTGATTAAAAAAAAAAAAAAAAAAAAAAAAGCTAATCATATTAGAAAAGATTTAGATAAATAAATCTATGTAAATTTGTACTCAAAATTGGAAAGGGGAAAGTTTGTGTAAAAAAAAAAAAAAAAAAGTAAATTAATGATATAGCAAATGCTTACAATTAGGCCACTCTCAGTAGTAGAGGAATGCAAAGACTAAAAAAAAAAAAAAAAAAAAAAAAAAAAAAAAAAAAAAAAAGGCACCTCCGAGATCAGCCCAAGAAAGATAACTTTGATTTCGAAAAGGAAAAAAAAAAAAAAAAGCTGATTTTATTGCTCACATTCAAATAAACCTACAAGAATTTTTCTCTTTTATGAATTTTGCAAAAAGATATTAATTACAATGATCATTGTAAATATCTGTGTGCCCTCACGAAAAATGTTAAATAAATACACACATTTTTGACGAGTGAAGAGTTACCATTATTACCGGAGATGGAGCGTTTCTCAAAAGTTTAAAGTTTAAAAAAAAAAAAAGTGTACGACCGACATAAGAATCAACACTACATGATGACTGTCAGTTTCATGCCTTGAAATTGAATGTCACTATGTGATCTTCTTGACCTGAAGATAGCTTGGAGACAAAAAAAAACAAAAAACTAAGCAGTGCTGATTCCTATGTACACACTCTCAGATATACACACACGTGTGTGGGCATCATGAGTTTGTCAAAGATAGAGAGATCAACTGTCCTGCACACAACTAGAATTTAAAAAAAAAAAAAAAAAAAAAAAGAAAAAAAAAAAGGGATGAAAGGAAAAGGGTGTAAAAGAACAAAGAAAATAAAAAGAGAAAAAAATGAAGAGAGAAACGAAAAGACAGGCTTGCAGTCTTTAGTTTTAACTTTTAGTTTTACCACACCTTTTTTTTATCCCTTAGATCTTTTAAAAAGTGGGCGAAGTTTCCCTTCCTTTTCTCTTTTGGAGCGTTATATACACATTTTAAGGAGGCAAAGATAACACCCACTTAAAAATGTGATGATTTTTTTTTTCATTTCAATTAATATTAGATATCACACTTATGTTTTAATTTTTTGTTGTTTGCAATAATATTTTTAAAGCTATTTTTGGTGGCGGTGCGGTTAATTTTCATCAAGTTTTCAAGAAAATACATCAAAGAAATATGAACAGAAACGATTTTTCTCTCAATACAAATTACAAACATTTCAGTGTGATCAAGAAAGATAACTCTTGAATTATCATAAAACAATTTTCTAAACTTTATTGAAATAACTTTACATTAAAAAAAAAAACAACAAAAAAAAAAAAACAGAAGATATATATTTTTACTTTTGAAAGAAAGAAAGAAAAATCATTTAAGTAATTTAAATCAAAGGTTAATTCACCTTAAAAACTTAACCAGTTTAACAAGGACAAAAAAAAAATATTGCTCGCATTAATGATGAAAAAAAAAAAAAAAAAACATATTTATTTAAGTTTTAAAAAAAAAAGGACTGACAAGTGACAATACTTGTCATCTGATATTTTAACAGAGCTCCGTAGAAAAGTTTTGACAGCAACATTATCTCAAAATGTAAAATGAAATAAAAAAAATAAAATAAAATCCAAACCAATAATTTTGAAGTGTCAAAGTCAACAAAACTAAAGAAAAGTGCAGTAGGTTTTTAAAACTTAGGTGTTTTTGGTCATAATTCATAAGGATATCTATCACCATCAAAACGTACTGTTGATAATAAGTAAAAATACTATCTGAAAAATCGGTATCTTGTGCATTTTCAAAGCTAGTTTTTGCTGTCTAGTACAATAAACTAAAATAAAATGAAGATTTAGAAATACTTGTTTTCTACGTTTAAAAAAAAAAAATTGTTTCTTCTAGTTAAAATGGAAACATAAAAAAAAAATCTGTGATGTGCATAGTGGAAACAAAAAATCTTAGAAAAATATTGATCTTAGTTAAGTTAAAAAAAAAAGAATCTTTTAATAACCGTTTTTATGTTTTTTTGTTTTTTTTTAAATAATAGAATGAAAAATAAATCAACACTTTGAGGAACAGATTTCATTTGCAGATAAGTTGATCTCAAATTGGACCTTAAAGAAAAGAATTTAAATTAAAAATAAAAGTATAATAAAAATGTGAAATATTTACATACCAGGTTCTGGTTAATGGTTTAAGTATGTTGGGTTGATTCTAGATTCCTTGGTATATTTTTAGTCTTATAAAACAAAAATAAAAGCCCCCCAAAAAATGTTTAGTTAGGGTTTGTTTATAAGTGAATTATTTGGGGGAAAAAAAAAAAAAATTAAAAAGCTTCCCTTATTTTAAAATCCAACTGATGGGAATGTTTGTATATTTTCAATTAGCTGAACAAAAGGGTAGATATAATGTGTGTAAACATATAGCTGTAGGTTTTAGATCTCTTCGGGTCTTTGTTGTTTTGTTTTTTCTTTTTTTAGTTAATAAAAAGTCGTCATATAATAATAATGATAGCCACGGTCGACCTGACAGATAAATGTTGTAAGTAAAAAGTAGGTCTTGATTTAGAGCTTCTTCCTCTTCTTCGTCGTCGTTGTCGTCAGCAGTCAAACAGCTGGCCGTCATCTAGATCTATGGACAATGCCAGACCCGAACTATCATGCCGAAGATGACCAATTTTGTTTTCTAGTCGTGCTCCGTTGTTATTGTGCCACGTAGTGTGTTGGCCCATGTTACGCCGGTACGTACAGTCGCCATTACAAATCCCCCTCTCTAGTTTACTGTTTGTCTCTTGTTTACTCTGCCCCTTTATCCACCGCCCTTATTCAATCGCTATATAGCTCCTTCCTCCCACTTCCTTTACGTTTTATCCTCCCACTTTCCTCTTTATCCTCTCACTGTCCTCTTTTATCACTTATTCCCTCTCTAAAAACAAACAAAAAAAAATCATGCAAATACTTATGCCCTCCTACTTCGTCGCTTTTTTCTTACTCCTACTCTCCGCCCAAGCTCCATTGAGGTAGAGACTAGAACCGAAAGCTACATTTAAAGTTCTGAACAAATGCATCGTTTTTAAAGAAAAGCAAATAAATAAACAAACAAAAACCACAAGGAGAAGCTAAAAAATAAGAACTCGTTACACACTTGCAGAATCTACGATACCCACGAGGTAAAAAATTACTGACTCCTTTTCTTGTAACTTTGACTTCCTTCGACTTCCTCTATTTTAAGTCCTCCTACTCTACTCATTTTTTTTTTTCACTTGTGGATCGCGCTTAACTGAAAAAGTGTGCGACTTGTAACTGAAAGGTCTGAAAAGTACGGAGTTGAACTAAAACTAAAGTAAAAATTAATGAGAAGTTTCAGATCAGGCCAAAAAATTACCTTGACTTCCTCAACTGGGTTAAGATTCGGTTAACTGAAATAATAAACTGTGCATTTTCTTATTTGGTCTGCTTTCTTCGGATATGACATTCATCTCTTTCGGAAAATGGTCATTGTTGAGAAAAATTAAGCTGACCACAGTTGTTCAATTTTATATAAATTGAATGCAAAACTGGACCCTGATTTTGTGCCCGTTTACGCAAATATGGCTGCGAAAGGAAAGGGTATCCTAATTCGGTGCCACTGTTATAACGAAAAAAGAGAGGGTTTCTTAAATTCGAAATAAATATTAGTTTTATCCATATTGAATTTTTTCTCCGTCTGTTTTTATTGAAAGTGTATTTTGATTTTTTCGCAGCCATATTTTCGTAAGCGGACAGAAACTCATAGTCCAGGTTTGCGTTAAATTCACATTAAAACATCGATGACATGAATCCGAACATAAAGTCAGGGTTTGGCATTAATTTAATTAAATGTAAACCGAAAAATATGTATATCGATTTGTTCTTTAAAAGAAATCTATTTTTTTATAAATGATTTAAAAATCCTTTTTCGTATGCTGATCAATGACGTGTAGGTACAGTTTCAAACTTAACATTTGTAAACAAACAATCAAGTCCGATAACTCTATAAATGTCAGGGGTCGATTATACACTGTATGAACAAATTAAAAAAGTAAATCACCTTTTTTTTGATTCTGACAAGTGTCGCGCCTTTAGGAAGGTCTTATGAATAGATTACTTCCAAAATATTACCCCCATTTACGAGTGGACCAGTTTACTTAAGTAGTGCCAAAATGAATGTTTCAGGAACTACTGGTTTTTTTACTCATTAAAAAAAAAAATAGAAAATCAGGGTGGGGAATAATTTTTTTTGGTGATAGCATTCTTTAGATTTTCCTTCTTAAGCCGAGACACTTGTCAGTTTCTAAAAAGATTGATTTTTTATTGATCTCTAATGTCACAACCTAAAGAATGCTAATCTACAAAAAATTATCCCCACCCCCAATTTTCTCTATTTCTTAATTTGTTAATGTTTTACAACAAATGTATTGTACAGGGTGCGACAGAAATACCTCCCACATTTTAATGATTGACAAAAAGACCAAGGTAACTATTATTATTTAAAAAAAATATTTTCACTGTTGTTTAAACAAAAAAGGGCTACAGTTCTTATTCATTTGTTTTTTAAAATGACATCATCCAAATCGTGGCCTCTACACACTGTTGTAGACGATTTCGAAAGTTTTCCTTTACCCTGAAGTTTGAGCATTTCGAGGTCTTCCAGGTGGCTTTCTTAAGTGCTGAACGTGTGGCCTTGAAACTTTCAACCCATATAGCAGTATTTTCTATCCAGAACAACATAATTCTGGAATAACATGAAATGAGCACAAAAACATATCTGTTACAATTACAGATTTGCCAGTCTTGAAATACGTTTCACCAGTAAACACACCAGTCCAACTCCAAGCCATGATGGTAAATGATGGTGCCTGAAAAAAAAAAGACATTAGCTAAAAATGAAGGCACCATTATCACTTGCTTGAGTTCACTAGCACCACACAGGTGACAGTTTAAAAAATGGGAGGTATTTCTGCCACTTATTAAAAATAAAAGGTAACAAAAATTTCATAAATTGAAAACAAAACTTCTTTTTTTAAAGATCAAAGTTGACTAGAATGTAAGGAGTTAAAAGAAAGCTCCACAAGTGAGAAGTGTGAGAGAAGAAAATTTTAGCATAGGACTTACAGTTAAATCTAGCAATTTCAGCTATAACATGATGAAACCTAGCTGACAATCTAGTACTGCACTTAAATTCATAAAGTCTAAGTACCAAAGAGGAAATTTCATGGGAACACTTACCATAAATATTTATAGAAAAGGCACATGGAAGCTACATTATGGTGATGGAGAAGTAACTGTAGCCAAGATGCCAGGTCAGGAACAATAACATTGAAGATTCTTTGTATTTTATCAAAAATCTCTAAATACGTAGCAGAAACATTCATAGGATTTTTAAATAGAATGGGATTGAAATTCACAATAAAAATATCTAATGTAATCACATGTATAGATATATGTGTGTGCATTAACAATCTAAAATGTTTTGAGGGTTTTCAACACGGCTGTTTAAAACGCTTATTTTTGTCGTATAGGAAAATCCAACTTGGCACGTAAACGAAATATTCAATGAAAAATCTCATTCGTCAGTAACATTTTAAACTCCTCATAGAATGTAAAGTTCTTAAAGCAAACCTGTGCCAAACTGTTTTCTTGAATCCTTGATGACTTGGCTGTCCGAAAATGACAACATCAAGATGAAATAATGGAAACTGACCATGAAAAACACAATTATGTGCAACAAGTTTTCAATCAATCAGTAAACTTCTGGACCTTTTCGGGCAATGTTATAGGATCCAGGCAGCTATTGTTTGCACATGGAATTATTCACTGGTAATTAATCTTCAATTTGGCTGTGGAAAATGTCACTTGGCAGTTAGCATTAAGAAATTATGCCCAATTTTCTGAGAAAAGTCACCTTTTTTTTTTTATGAAAAAATATTTATTTTCACTTCAAAATAATATCATTCAAACTCCATGCCTTTCTTAATTTGGTGTGAACATCATTGAATAAAATGAATGGCTAAATAGCCAGGCGATGGGAAATATGAAAGATATGTGGCGAAAAAAACAATGTTGTCTGCTAAGTGTTGTTGTCATCACCTGGATCACGGGGTGTTAAAAACAAAACACATCAAGCCATTGTTCAAACAGGTTTGAAAAAACAAAAAACTAATATCAAGCCCTTTTTTTTCATGTTTGCCCTTTTTTTTTTTATTAAACACACTTTGCTTTTTATCTGGGAGGGGCTTATTTTATTTTGAGCTGACGACAACTTGTTCTAAAATGTTTATTTTTATTGTCAAAGTCAATTTTTTTTAATTTTACTTTTGGTTTCTGGTGGTCAAGAATTGCAGATAAATCTTTCACCTTTTACTAAAGATTTCCATGGCCAGGTGTCAATTTTTTAACCCCTGGCAGTCATATAATTGAAAATTACCAATGGACTTTGGTCACATTTTGACCCGATAGGAATGTTGATTTCCTTCAAAACTCTTAATTTTATGCCTGAAGTAGTTTGATTATGATTTAGGCTTTCTGATCTTCAAACAAAAATGGTTAATTTCCCATTAATGGGGAAAATTTTTGTTTAGAACTAGAAAAAATGCAAAATTTTCACTATTTTTTTCAAATTTTACCCCCTGAAAAAAAATTTGAGTCATTTATACCAGCTAATTTTACTTTTAAATGAAAGAATATATCCTTTGCTTTCAGAAAATACCTAGTTTCATGGGATTCAGATTAAAAGTTTCCTTGATATTAGTTTACGTGATAATAAAACAGTCATTTTTCAATATTTTACCCCTATAAAAGTATAAAAATCCATTTTTTGAGAGAAAATAAGCTGTGACAAAATGACTTTTGCCATTTTTGTGATGATTTTCACTTGGGGAAAGAAAATTTTTACCATAGCAAACCTGAATTGACTTTAAGTTCAGTGGGACTATAAGGAAACCTCAAACAGCTGTGTCAAATACATATATATCCATTTAGTATATGAGGACAGATAAAAGTATGAAAATACTATTGCAATTTTTAGTGAAGATTATCTTTTCACTGTATTTTTTTAATAAATATTTTGTGAAAATTTGTTTGAAAACTTCTATTGTGTTTTGTAAAGTTCTCGCAAATATGCAGTATAGTCAAGGAAAGATAACTCCCTCCCAAAGGTAGAAACCTTTCCACTTATATACAATCTAATTTGCATATCACCACATCTTCTGGAACCTTAGAGGCTTTATGTCCTTGGTAGAACTGCTACTTCTATGAACCACTCCAGGAGGTGTACTGCTTGTCTCAGGGATCACCCTGGGACAAGCAGTACACCTCCTGGAGTGCTTTGATTCCTCTTTTTGGGAGATCTCAGTCTTACCAGATTTTCTTCATTTGAACCTTCCTCATTATCACTAGACACACTCATTCTCTCCTCCCCTCCATTCTCAAATTCTTCGTGATCACCTTGACCATTCTCTTCTGCACCAGACTCTTCCTCCATTTTAATATCTTCTGGCTCTCTTCACAATCTAAATTGGTCTTCATGAGCTAACATGCGCTATCCATTTTTTTGTTACTATTGCTGTGTTAAATTCTTTTTGCACTACAAATTGTGCTTTCTCAGGATTTGAATCCTTATTGTTTTTGCACCATACATTGTCATTTGTTAAGAAAGACATGGTTATTGCCTTCCCATCAATGCCAAGGGGCTTTGTGTTTTGTCCACATCAGT